TCTTGATACTCTTCAGCCGAAGTAAGGACATCGGCTAAAGAGTGGTTGGCTGGACTAAACCAACTCTTGGTACTCTTCATTAAACCAACTCTTAGTACTCTGCATTAAACCAACTCTTAGTACTCTGCATTAAACAGACAAAAAGACCAATATAAAGTATCTCGGCAAGAAAATATTAGTCTGAATACAAAATAAATGCAAGCATGGTAGCAGACCGAACTGAAAGTTGAAAGGCTCTTCATTCAAAATTCAAAAGTACAGAGAAAAGAGTTCATTCAAAACCAGTTCAGAAGAATGTTACTTCAGCCGGGTTATAATTGTCCAAAAACAGAAAAGAAAAAAAAATACAAAATCAGTTAAAAAGATCATTTATTTCGGCGTCAAGATCAGCATCAACATCAACCCGAAGACCGGTTTTAAACGGGATCTCGGCTTCGATCGGAAGTATGGTCTCTGTTGGAAGCACGGTATCAGTTGGTTGGTCAGTAGTCAGGTCTTCCACTGTGGGCTCCGCCCGAGCTAACTGATCGGCAGGATCATTGACGACCGGGGTGTCGTTAGGCTCGGTTTCATCATCATCTGAACCTTCAAGGAATTGTTGTTGAAGCGTAGCAGCGTACTCCGCTAGTGAGCTCGGTATAAAGTATGAAGGAAGATTGAATACCTCAGCTTCAGGTCCATGACCGAGCTGCACCACGGCCCCCCTCCAACCGCATTTGAAGAACAAATCCTTAGCTGCCTCACATTGTTGCATGTAAAGGGCCTCCTCCTCCTTGAAACCTGCAGCATTCGCATCATCCGCCTTCTTTTTTAGCTCGGCGATCTTTGCATTTTTCTTTCCTTCGAGCTTGGCCAGCTCACGCAGGTACTTGTCCTTCATCAGGGCCAGGGCCTTTTGTTTGTCAACATTAACCGAGGTAACTAGTCCGGTTAGACGGGTTACCTCGGCCTCTATCTCGGCTGTCCTCTGTTGGGAGTCTTTTAGCTTGGTGGTTTTTGCTTTAACTTCGGCCATGGCTTGCCTTGCTGTTTTACGAAGCTCCAACACACGCTTGTGTGCAATTTGACTTTTTTGCATGGCCTGAAAAAGAATTGAAAGAAACTATTGACCAGACCGAGCAAAAAAGTTGGAAAAATTAGGGAGACCAGAGGGGCTACTTACCAGGATCATTGATTTCGTTGCTGACCGGATAGCCTTGAGCTCGGTCAACTGGATGTGATGCTCCATATCAAGGGGCAGACATACACTCTTAGCCAAATTGAAGGCTAGCATATGGTCTTTGTCAGCCACCATTGAGTCAGTATCACGGATAACGCGGTTTTGAAAAGTCATTTTTGGAGCCCACTTGGAGGAACTAGCCCGGTCAGAACGCTCCGGCTGAGGGCTCGGTGGAAGGATGGTTTCATCTTCATCAGCAAGGCGTTGCTCGGTTTGGGTAGTCTGGGCGCGCTTGCTTGGGCGTGATGAAGAGGGTTGTTGAGATGGAAGGGCCACCACTGTTTCCTGAGTTTGGACTTGTGGCAGTACTTCGGCTCGATGGGTTTCGGTTAAGAGGGCCCTTACTTTGTTCCTCTTCGCCATTTCTTCTTCTTCGGTAGTACGAACCAGGTTAATTTGTGGCAAGTTGGGGGCGGTTCGGGAGAGGCTTCCAGTAAGAAGACTGTTATTCTGGCTTTACGTCGGCTGCTGTATCTGTACATCGGCTCAAAATTCAGCAGCTTGGGCCAACTTCTTTCTGGATATCGTAATGCGGTGCAGAGAGTGTTCAGATTGGGGTAACTGTATAATGATTGAAGATGGGCTGAATCTGCATAAAGAAGACAACTCTTAGTTCGGTTCAAGAATAGGAAACCGAAATAAAACAGGAGTATGCAAAGGAACCAAAGTAATTATACCGGGTGTTCCTTTATTCCAGTTTATACTGCGGCTTGGGATCTAGGCTTTGTGGTCTTCGAAATTGCCAGATACCCAAAAAAAATCGTCATCGTTTAAGTCTTTGTCCAGTGTGTTCTTTATTATTTTCTCACGCCGGCGGCGTATTCATAAATAATAAACCCACCCGTCTTCTTTTGAGCCTATAGAATATTGGTGAAATAGTTCGGCTAAACCGAGGTTAATACCAGCATGACGGTTTAGCTCGGCTATACCATTTATTATGTGGTATGAGTTTGTGGAAAGCTGAGTTGGGCATATTCTAGTTTGCCTAAGGAATTCTCAAAGCAAGGGCTGTACAGGGAATTTTAGGCCGGTCTTTACAATGGAAAGGAGGGTAAAGGAAACAAAACCAGGGTTCCCCCAAGGTATGATATCTTGTTCGGCTAAGGTGAGATGGACGTCATCAGGGATGTTATACTCCCTTCGGAATTCGGCCAAGCCACCAGGTGTTTCTACTAAAAACCTATATTTACCCATTTACTCTTAAGTTATGTATAATTTAACTGTGATAGCTGGGTTAAAAAATGATGCTGAGTAGCTCGGTTGAGCGTGCGAAGGAGTGCCTGGCAACCTAAGTCTGCAAAGTGAAAAAAGAAAGGGGTTATGCACAGATCGATGGACCGTGCTAAAAAGAAATCAAGGTAAAATAAATGAAGTCCTATCTCGGTTATGTGAAGAACTACGGATGTTAGCTCGGTTTCAGCAAGGGGTCTGTTAGCTCGATTTGAGCAAGGCATTTGATAGCCTGGTTGAGCCTCAAGGGGCAGCTTTCTTAGTTCGGTCTGAACTTGAAAGGCTGGTTTAGCCCCTAGATTCAGCTCGGACATAGTTAAGGTTTTCAAGGCTTGACTTGTTAGAACTACAAATATAGCAATAAAGAGTTAGCTCGGTTGGTTGGTCCGGCTAGACTGACATCCACTATAAACAACTTCCTAGTTCGGTTATATTGTGATTTTGGATCAAAACTAGTGTTTTTCATGTTATTTCTTGAATCAGAGGGGCTCTATTACTAAGTTTTTGCAGAAGATGCAAGACAAGGCAGAAAATTAAAGTAAAAAATGTTTTGCAAAAACACATAAAACAAATGTTATGGGCTAAAAAAGTACGAAAGCCAGAAAAATAGAACAGATTTGTGTTACTCACTAAAGTAAGGGGAAGGAAAGAGAAGTAGAAAACAGCCACAAATGCAAGCTTCGCAAAATGCAAAACAATGGAGACGCAGGCAAGAGAGAGAACAAGAGGAGAGAAGATGAATAGTGTGGTGAGATTCAAAATGAATAGGTTTGTTTTGTTTTGTTGCAAAAACCAGAGACGGGAACTGTTCAAAATTCATGAAGTATGAAGACGGCGTGACAGTTGCCTTGGGCCAATCAGCGTATGCCACGTGTCATGGAAATGAGAAGCGATTCAGTTGCTGTGATTGAAGAGACGCTTTGACTGGACAAGGAGAGCCCGGTGTGGAATTAGCTCAGCTGGGTAGGCTAAAAGGTTTTAGTTCGGCTGGAAAAGCTAAAGGGTTTTTAGTTCGGTTGAAAGGCTTAAAAACCTTAGCTCGGTTGGTAAAACAAGTAATCCCTATCACACTACGCAGATGGAATTAAGGGGCAATTGAGAGGGTAATTTATATGAATATTGGGCCGAGCTGGACAATGGGCCGTTATGGGCCACAGTACGAAAGGCTAAGTAAAAAGGCCTCAAATCTAGTCCAGTCCAAGCAGGACTTAAAGTTAAGACCGGTCCCAGAAGTGCATTGTTATCTCGGTATAGGAGAGCGCGGCAGTTCGGTCGCTGGGTCACCACCCTCAGAGTTAGTCCGGTCGCAGCATATTACGGTTAGCCTGGTCGTGTCTTCTAAACCAAAGTATGATAAGCCTTTTTCAAGATACTTCTGTGTTAGTTCGGTTTGACACTTCTATGGATAGCTCAGTCTGGGCATGCGAAGCCGAGGTAGAAGCAAGGAAAAGAAGAGCCGAACTGAAAGTTAGATCTGTCATACCTGCATATCTAGTAAGGCAATGGTATTTCGGTCCTATAGAAGTCTGACCATGGTAAAACCATCTCACTTGGTTTAAGCAGTGAGGAGGGTGTTGAAGGATAAACATTATCTTTCAGGAGTATGAATCCTAGGAGGACTCTGCATGGAGGAGTAGAAGTCCTATTAGGACTATGCCACACGGAACCTATAAAAGCTCAAAAATATCACCTATGGAGAGGTAACACAACTTTGATTCCTGAATACACAGAGCTTTTGTCTACTTGTCTATTTTGCTGACTTAGGCATCGGAGAGGTTTCCGGCACACACCCGCCGACTAGCTCACATTTGTGTTTTCAGGGAGTAAAGCGACGACGTTTGGAGGAGCGCAGACTTGATCAACAGGATTATACGAGAAGATTTATTTCTTTCCCGTACACCATCCTTTGTACATTTTTAAGTTATTAACCTTTTTAAATATCCAACCAATTTATATGCACAACACTACCATCAATTAAACCACAAAAGTCAAAAATTAACATTTTCATAAACTCAACAACTTAGGTAAAACCACTTCAATCATTAATAAAATTCCTCCAAAATCGTTTATAAAACATAAAGATACCCAATCTACCATTTATCAAATCAATTTCAACATATAAATTTCCTAATACCAAAATCTCCAATTTTTACATCACATTCAAACCTAGATTAACCCCAATCAATCTCCAAAACAACCATCAAATTGATCATTAAATCAATAATTTCATGAACTCATGATTTTTATAACTTTTCTTCAAAATCATTTATATACTCTATTACATGGATCCAATCTACAAACATTTCTTGTTGCATGTAATTTACAGAACTCAATTTAAGAATAATTCTCAAAATTAAACCCAAATTTAACAAATTTAAGGAATCATAACTCATATTCTTCAACCTAACTTGATTTTTATGCAAATCCCAATTCCTATCAATTTATATAATCAATTTTCAAATCTTCCTTTTTAATCCTCTCAAAATTCACCTTGAATCAATTTTTGTTTAGATTATTTAAACAACACTAGAAAGAGAATGAAATTTCTTACCTTAAGATGAATTTTTCATAATTTTTAACTTCAATTTTGGTATCCTACAAAGCCATCTTCTTCTTTATTCTTCCTTTCTTCCTTCTCCACGGTTTGCTCCAGCAGGATGACTACAATATGTATCTCTATATATATAGGTAATGAAGCTCTCTCTCTCTCTCTTAATTTCCTTAATTCTTTTCTCAGAACAATATTTGAGTTAGAAGAACATAAACTCCTTTTTGAAGTTCCAACACACTACAAAATACATACTCATCCTTTTTGCCCTTAGCCTTACACGTGCACACAAACACGTCAACACACATGCACACACACAAAATATTCCAGCACAACACTCTCATACATACACACCCACTAGTTTGCTCAATAAACCCACACCCACATACATCCTTAATTTTAGATTCTTCCATAATTTAATTTATATTTATGATTAATTTAATTAAGCATCACTTAGTCTTAATAAATCTTGATTAACACATAATTAAATCAATCATGACTAATCACAAATCCCACTTAATTAGTCTAATTTTACTTCCTTTAGAGCCTAATTAAATATATTTAAATTTATTAATCCGAATCAGATTTTTAATCAAACTCCCAAAAAGCTCTAAATATTAAATTAAACTTATTGTCTCATTAATTTTGGTTTCCCACATCATTAAGGCCTTTAATTTCTGATCAGACTCCAAATATTTGTCAATTAAATTATATATTTAAATTGAACACCCCATAAATAAATTTAATTCGAAATAATCACAATTCTCAATTCTCATAATTTAATTAACTTAATTAACTCCAATTCAAACCTAATTAATCGAATCTTAATTTTACTAAACTGAATCGAATATTTAATTAAACTCTCGAATGGGTCCGTAATTAAAATTTAATTGATTCAACTTCTTAATTTCGCTTCCTTAAGCCATTTGGACCCTTAATTTCTAATTTCAAAATAAATCTTTAATAGAATCATATGCAAATCAGATTCCACAATTCTCATAAATCCCAAATTAAATTAGAATAACGACTAGTTAAAATCTCTAATCTCCTTAATTAACCAAATATAAAATATTATACGTGGCGGGATCGTCACAACTACCACTATCCTTTAAGTCATTCCCAATGTCATTAACTATGATGTTAATATAAGACAAGTTTATATCAATAATGTTTGTGTCACCACCATCTATGGCATTACCACCCTGTTTTGTGTCACCACCACCTATGGCATTACCACCATATTCTGCACCATTGGGATTTGACAACAACTCACCACTAGATGATAAAACCATAATAGGATCTACACCATTCTCTACATAAACTACTACATAATCCAAACACTTATAAGCCTCAAGCATTTTCATCATATCAGCATCACTGTAAATTATTTTCAACCCAACATCTAAACTATAACCAGGCCATGTATAGCACATATTTATGTTTGCTCCTTTTCCACCAACCAAGTCATAATAAAGGTCTTTTAACTCAAACATAGACATTTTGTCAAGGTCACAGTTAATTATTTCATTCGCCCTACCACCCTCATAAACAACATGTTAATGAAAAACAAAATGGCCCCCATATTGCATTTGAACAGTTATGAAATTGTTTGACATTTTCAGCGTTCACTCCTAAAGTAGAAAAGACTTCCATTAATACATTTTGGGATCGCAACCCTAAACCCTAAACAAAGAAATAGTTATGCATGCAACCAACATAAACTAAAATAACAAATAATTCCTAATCCTCAAACATATCACACAAAATAAAAACAGAATATAAAAGTATAAAATAATACAATACAAGTGCCTATAGTATATGACAAGCATAAAGTAATAGAATTTAAAAAAAAACTTATTTTTCAGGCATAAAGTTAAAAGTTAATTGAAGAAGGAAACAAACAAAGTAATACACTGAGGATTAGAGATAAACTTCACATTTTTAGTGCATACCCCACACAATACACAATTACAACAAACAAACAAAGTAACGATGACATCATCCACTACAAATAGACAAACAACCATAGGGGAACACAATATATGAACAACTTCATATATACAAAACCACCATAGCAACCAGATATGAAGAACTGCATCGAATACAATGTCCATGACAAAAACTTAACCACTAATGGTATGAAAAATGGAGGCACACAAACCCTAATATACAAAACATGCGGGACTATAGTTTATAGCAACAAAAAGTGCATCAACTAACATTTTATATATATATATATATATATCAACAAATCGAAGTGAATCAAATACAAAATAAAAAGCAATGACCGAAAAAATACCTTACAACTTATTCTTCGTGAACTTTTGGGCTTCGTTTGCTTCGTAAATATCCACATTAGTGACAATCGAACAATCAAAACCTTACTTTCTCAAATTTAAGCACTATTTCGTTCGATTGAAACACTAATTTGTTCAATCGAACAACCCTAATTTGTTGAATTGTACAACCTAATTCTCTCTACTTTCCTCTTTTCAAATGCACAACTGTTGGAAGTGAAAATGGTAAGCAAGGTTAGATATATATACACAAGGGCAAATTGGTATTTCTACGTCTGCCATTAACGGTGTTAACTGTGCACATTACTCCATTAACCACATGGGGATTATGTAGTGATATTCAAACGTCAGGGGGGTAGTTCGCACATGGCCAAAACCATAGGGGGTAAATTGAAGTTTCCCAAAAAAAAAAAAAAAAAAAAAAAAAAAAAAAACACTCAACATAACCTTTTCAAGAAAATTTATATTTTTTATTTTTATTAATTTTTTTTAATATTATAAGTAATTTTTTTTAGGAAAAACTAGTCTAAAGTTCCTGTCCCATTTTTAATAATGGAAGAGATCTACAATATTATTTTGTAATGTCTAAGGTCCCTTAACCCAACACTTATATATCATAGAGAAATTTGACATACCAGAGAGTTGTTCTTCCTCACAACTCTCTCTCTCTCTACGACACTCTCTCTCTCCCTCTCTCTCTATACACAGACTATGTTGATCATGTCTTCCTCACCTCACAAATGCTTATTCTCCACCATAGTTAGGGTTTCTTCGTCATTTTTAGCCTCATCACCTTCCAAGCTTGATATATTGCTAGTTGTCTCTTCGATCGAGCGTTTGCAAGTTTCCTTGTCTCTCGTGCTTCTTATTTTGCTGCTCTTCGAAGGCTAAAGGAATGGTGGAGATGGTGCAGGACAAGGAGTCTGCAGTGGCCGTCGCCCCGCCTTCAGCTTCATAGCGAACCTCGGTCGAAAATAATTGATGGGTATGTGAAGAATCGTTGTTAGAGTTGCACAAATTGTTACAGATGAGCTTATAGATTGTGTTCGAAGATAGATTTGTAATGGGTGAATAATAGATTGAGCTAAGAGGTCTGGAAGTGAATACAGAAGGTATGATTGGGCTTTTGAAGCTATAGACTTATCTTGACCACAAAAAAGTAGAATTGTCTTCATGAGTTTTTTTGGATTTAATTATATGGATGATTTTCTGTTCTTTTATCTCACATTTCTTTACAATTAATTGGGTTTCTTTCATCCCTCTATTTTTTTCCCCATCCAAACAATAATCTTGATTTTTCTTATTCTTGGTAGAGAAATTTTCTGGTTTGAGCCTAGAAAAATTCTTGCAGAAAACAAAGAAATTCTCTGAAAATCCAGAGAAATTCTCTTTTCAGTGAGTGTATTTCTCTCTCTCTCTCTCTCTCTCTATATATATTAGTTGTTGTTGTTGCTTGTTTGGGTGATCGATTTGTGTATTGCACATCGTGATTGGGAAGACAATCCAGTGAAAATCTAGAGAAAATCTTTAGACTAGAATCTAGAGAATTTCTTTAGAAAGTCCAGAGAAATTCTCTGGATATATATGTATATTAGTTGTTGTTGCTTATTTGGGTGATCAATTTATATATTACACATCGTGATTGGCAAGACAGAGAAATTTTCTGGTTTGAGCCCAGATAAATTCTTGTGAAAACCAGAGAAATTATTTAGAAATCCAGAGAAAGTTTCTAGAGTGGAATCCAGAGAATTTCTCTGGCCTTCCTAGAATTTCTCTAAAGATAAATTCTCTGGAAAATCCAAAGAAATTAGGAAAAATTACATATTAAACGGAGTAATTTTCTCTGGCTGGTGATGATAAGGTATTAGAGCTTGAGATTGTGAAGAATTTTCAGGAAGAGGTGATTTTCTCTGGGAAGAAATTCTCTAGAAAGAAATTAATTTCTTTGGAGAAAAATTCTCGAGGAAGTCTAGAATTTCTCTAGAGAGTGGGAAGTCTAGAGAAAATTTCTCTGCAGAGAATTTCTCTTGGAAGTCTAAAGAAATTCTCTGGATCGAATTTTTTCTGGATCGATGTTGAGGGACTTTAGATGTTATAAAAAATATTGGGTGTCCTTTATGCTATAAAATCTTAATACCATGGATCTTAAAAAAAGTCTCCATTTTAAAAAATTTTAGATACACCTAATATAAATACACTTAAAAAGTATAATATTTATGAAGAAAACTTTAAAAATTCAATAAATACCAAAAATACAAAAAAAAAAATTGAAAATTTAATATATTTTTTTGTATTCTTATATATTTATGATTTTTTAAAATATTTTACTTTTTAAATACATCTAAATAAGGTGCATCGAAAAAGTAAAAAATGCTTAAAATTTTAAAAATATTCACTAAAAATAAAAAAATACAAAAAATAAAAAACTCAATTTTTAAAAAATTGAACCAAATACAATAACGAATTTCCCAAAACACTACGGCCTAATTTGGGAACTTGGTTTTAACTAATTTTGGGCCACATCACCTCTCTATTTTTTTACATATTCTTTCAAAAAAATCAAAAAGTCAGCTTTTAAGTAACTTCCCAAACAACCAAATCAAGTTTTAATTGTTATTAAATGGGATAAGTTACATGGTAAAATATAAATTAATTATTTTTTTAAAATATAATTTTATACAATAATGTTAAAAGCTCAAAAATTACTCAGTATTTTACATCAATAACTTATATTAATTTCATATATAGACCGCACATTATAACAAGTTAATCTCCACCACGTCACATACTCATTTCTAAATAAATTATGAATTCCAAATTTTGAGATCCTAGTTTTTTTATTTAATTTTATAACATAAACTTAAAATAATTGGAAATGACTTGTG